TAAACTCGAATTTTGGAGTGATAAACTCGAATTTTGATGTGATAAACTCGAATATTTAAAACTGGTTCCAACCTCTAGTTCAAAATTGATTCTTTGCTCCAATATCTATAAACTTATTAAAAAGTTTTTTCTTTTCATATCTAGTACAAGTAGAAGTGAAAGAAGAAAAATTAAAAGAAATAAAAGTATCTATTGCTATTAGTAATCAAATAATAAATTTTATAGATATTATTTATTTATTATTTGAATTATAAAATAGTTAGTTCATAACATTAAACATTAAAGAAAAGTTATCCCTTTTTATATATTTGATAGTAATTATTGAAGTTTTGAGTCTTAAAGATTTATTAATTTCAAATATTTAATTATGCATCAATATAGAAGACTCTACAGCTGATATAGAAACAAAGCAAATATACAATTTCTAAAATTATATATAAATTTGTATAAATGTATATTAATATACATAATTTTATATTTTCTTTATAATAAGAAAACTTTAATAGAAAGTTAAAATTATATACATTATTGTATTAGTTATTTCTATATTATAATTAATCTTTTGATTTGGCTGAATAGCTGTAAGTAAATTTTTATTTATTTTTAATTTGCAAAACTATATATTGAAACTTATTAGATAGAGTTTTAAAGATAGTAATTTATATGTACTATTTGTTAAAATCTTTATACTAATATTCTTTTTTTTAATCAAAAAAAAGGTTTTTAACTCTTTCTAATAATTATCTAGACCAAAATTTTCTACTAAAAAAAAACCAAAACTACTTGTTAGAGAGTCATGATCTACATAGTGGTTTGTCTAAAGATTAATCACTTTTTTAAAAGATTTTTCTAAAAAAATGTTCAGCATGCAAACCAAGAGCATTATTGTACAAGATAACTGACAGAAAGTACTCTTGTACAAAAAATTTTAGTAAAGAAAGATACTTTTTGGGTTCTACTTCATTGATGAAGCTATCTGGCCATTACTTTAAAGAAGAATACTAAGAAAACAACAAAAAGTTTTGCTTTTTCAACACACCCTCTTGAAAATTTTAAAAGTACTTGTGACCTTTTTTTTTCACTTCTGCTTTCCTACTAGTCTTCTAAAAATTTTTTTCTTAAAAAGTAAAAATTTGGTTTACCCTTTCTAAAAGATTAGCATTGTTTACTTTTCTAATTTAGATATATTTAAACATACTCAGTAGAATGCAACCATATAACGTGTCTGTTTATAATTACAATACTACTTCATAAAATATGGATTATAATCTTGGAACCCATTAGTTTAAAAGATATCTGAGAGTAGTATTGTCATGAAATATGGATACAAATAGTAGACAGTCTAGAATGAGATATCTGTGAATATGTTTGTGGAAAATTTTTTTGTCTTAGACATCTATACTAATTTAAATTAATCAACACGTGATCATAAGCCAATAAAATTTATTCGGCAAAAAGGCCTTATTAAAAAAAAATTATATAAACATGGAATGTAACCATCAAGTTTTTAAAACTATTATCTTAACTACAATCTAGTTATCATTATTTCTGTATTTACAACCTAAGCTAAAGAATTTGGTTTTATATTTAGCTATATGTAGTTTAAACAAGCCTAATCTTTCTTAAAAGTTATATATATTGAAAATACTGTAATAGAATTTTCTTTTTCTTTTTTTCTTATAGTTATTATTATTATATTTTATTAGTTTATACTAGTTTCTTATTATTTTTTATTATTATTATTTTGATATTTTTTCTAAGTTTTTCTTATATTTTATTATAGTTATTTTAAGTTAGTCATATGACAACACATTCAAGGAGGCTTCTAAACGTCCAAATGCTATAATTAGCCTTGTAGATCATCACATTAGCTATACAATGATATGTGTTTTATTTTTAGTTAATATGTAAATTATTGAGTAATTAGTGATTGTAGTCGATTTGGAGTTAGTCGATAAAATCGACTTAGTCGACTAAGTTGACCGATTTTTTAAAAAATCGACTTAGTCGAGTCGATTAAAGTTAATCATTTTATCAATATGTAGCCAATCAAAATGCATCAAAATATAAAAGTAAAAATGCCATTTCCAAGATCAAATATGTATACGTATAACTTTAAAAATCCACGATTATGAGATAAAGCAAAAAATTTGCATTTTATATTTATTTTACTTTGTCGATATTATCATAGCCAAGAAAAATTTACACAATAAATTTATTGAAAGTTGTTATGCCTAAATTCCAAAGACGATAATATACGGTAATACTTTAATTTCTCCAGGTCTTAGTAAAAAAAAAAATAATGATTATATCGTTCAACGAAGTATCTACAGATCCGAGTATATAGCTTAAATTTTTTTTATTAAATAAAAAATTTGCATAACACTGTATTAGTATTATGAGAATTTATTTCTTCTCTCTTTGGTCAATGCCTTACAATATATAAAAGTTTTGTATTATCCCGGATTTACTTTTAAAAATAAATTAGCCAGAGCACCAGTACCTGACCCAAAATGTTACGCATAAGTAAGCTAATATGCATATTTATGTACAATAATTACTATAAGTAATATTTTTTTCTATCAGATACAAAGCCAAAAAGTCTCGTGCATCATAAGCATGATTCTGCGCATGCCCCCCTATGATTAATGGGAAAAGGGTTAAATTATTATGAAATAATGCGTATTTTTTTATCTATAATTTAGCATTATAAATCGATTGAGCTTACCCAAAGTGAATACTGCTTGAATGGGCTATTTTATTGGTATTGGCTTCGCATTTCGGGTTAGGTAATCAGTATTTTTTAAAGAACCAAACTTTCAAAAATAGCTAGCTAGAGTGTCTAGGCTTATGTGATTTCAGGAATTTTTCATTGTTTGAACAATGAAAAATCCATGAAATCGCATAAGCTTGAATACTCTATATATAGCTAGCATGTTTGAATACATATGTTTTTAAAGAATTTTCATTGTTACAACAATGAAAATTCCTGAAAAATATACAATCAATTGTTTTCAGATATGTACCTTTAATGCATTAAAACATGCAAAGAGTTATGATATTGCCGATTGATTGATATATATAATGATAATCCACAACCTCATAACGTTCACAATAAAATGTTTGAAGAACCAACAATTGATGAAAATATATTATATAGAAATTTTGAATTTGATGATTTATACAATGAAGACAATAATGAAGAACGTAGCTTTAGTGAAGATAGTCCTGCGGAAGATAAAAATAATACTACAGTCCAATCTTTGTCTATTACCTCATATTTTTCTCCGTGTGAGACTTCTACAAAATTAGCAAGCCCTAGACCACAAGCAAAAAAAAAAAGACCGGTTAAAAGCTGGGTATGGCTATATACTCGCCAGGATAAAATAACAAAAAAAAAACATTGTAAAGTAAATGTAGATAAGGGTGATGGTACATTTGAACAATGTAAAACAGTTTTCAAACCTCGTACATCAACTTCTAGTATTGCAGCACATCTTCGTACTGAACATAGGATCTTTAAAAATCAAAAATGGGAAACACCATCAACTACATCTATGAATTCTGTACCAGTTTCTCAACCAACAATTGAATCTATTATCCAAAAGCAAATAGAAAACAGTTCACCTCTTCCTGAAAAAAAACAAAATAGTATTGTTTACCGACTTGTTGCCTGGATAATTGAGGCCATGTTGCCTTTGGATTGTATCAGCCATGATCGCTTTCATGATTTCTGTTATGAAATTAATTCACGATTTGATGTTCCTTGCAAAAATACAATCAAAAATTTTATTATAGAGTCAGTATTTCATACACATGCCATATTAAAAGAAATGATGCATCAAACAATGACCTCCATTTGTATTACAACCGATTTGTGGACACAAAACCATGTTCCATATATTGGTGTAACAGCTCACTGGCTTTCAGAAGACTTTAAAATGTACCAAGCTCTAATTACAATTGAGATGTTTGCTTATCCACATACGGGAGATCGAATTGAGGATTTTTTAAGAAAAGTTCTTTCAGAATGGGAAATATTTAGTAAGCTTAATACTGTAGTAACAGATAATGCACCATCTATGAAAAAGGCGATTAGACAACTAGATGTTACTCATCTTGGTTGTACAGCTTATACAATTCATCTTGTTGTAACTGATGGTTTAAAAAAAAGTGAGCATTTAGTCGAACGTGCAAAATCATTAAATAATTTTTTAGTTAACCGTGATAAATACAGATCTAGATTTCACAAAATTCAAAAAGAAATAATTGAAAAAAGAGAGACCACAAATTTAATAAACCAGCCTACTTGTGTATTGGATCCCATATCAAGCGATACTGCTACTAGGTGGAATTCCACCTATTTAGTTCTTCAAAGACTTCTAGATCTCCGAGATTCAATTTTTGAACTAGTTGTAAATCTTATGAATGACCCTGATCGAACAGTTCGTGCTGATGGTAATAAAATAAATGAAACAATGCTTACAAATGAAGAATGGTGTGGATTAGAGGAATTATGTCGTTTACTGCATCCTTTTGCATGTGCATCAGTATTTATGAGTGGTGATCAATACCCTACTTTAGGCATGATGTATCCAATTATACGTCACCTTTTTAAAATTTTGGACTAAATAAAAAATCAAATTACATATCCATCCATTATTGAAACACACCAAAGTCTTTATTCATCAATGGCGTCTCGATGGGATGACCCAAAAATGGATGGATAGTTAGCTACAGCACTTGATCCTCGTTTTAAAACCCTGTCTGCTGCATCTTCTACAATACAACAAGAAGTGATGCAAGAATTACGTAATAGAATTAGTTTTTCTCAACAAGCAAACTTGTCAAATATTAGACAAAATCCAAAAACAGATATGTCTTTTTTTTTTGATGACGATACTGAATTTTCATCTATTTCTCTAGCCGATACTGAATTACAAATGTATTTTTCAATTCCTCCATTACCAAAATATGACCCAAAAGATCCACTTTATGAAAAATTTAATCTGTTAGTCTGGTGGAATAATCATAAAAATTCATTACCTCTTCTTGCAGAACAAGCTTGATTTTTTTTGAGTATACCTGCTACTTCTGTACCTGCAGAAAGACTTTTTTCTGATGCGGGTAACACAGTAACTGATAAGCGTAATCGTTTAAGCAAAGATATGGTTCATGATTTGTTATTTTTAAAAGAAAATTCTTCAATTATCAATGTATATGTTGGTTTATAACAAGGTAAGAAATTAATATATTAATTTATTTTATTTACTGCCAAGAAAAAACTTTAGTTCAGAATTTCAAATATATTTTGTACCAGACACAATCTCTAATAAATTAAATAGTGTCTAGTAATAAAAACATATTTGAAATTTCGAACCATAGTTTTTCTTTGGCACTCATATATTTGCCAAATTAATTATTGATGTTTTTTATTTTATATTTTAGTATAAAGAATCTTTAGCTTTCACGATACTATAGTATCGATACAATTATTAAAAAGCAAATTTATAATTTCATAAATTTAAACCTTTTATTTTCAAATTATCTAAGGTCATTATTTAAATGCGCAAGTTATATTAAATATATTGGCTATTATTAAATCTTCAAACAAGAATGCCTTTATGGCATTTCGTGTATTTAAAAAAAAAAAAAAAAAAAAATCAAAAATCAAAAAAAATCAAAAAAATCTTCGAAAAAAAAACTACTTAGCATTAACAAAATGTAATGTTTTCGATTAAAATATAGATAGATCGGCATTTTGTTAATTGGACATTTTTTTTTATTGTTAGCGATAGTTAAATATAAAGCATATTAGACTTTATACTGTAAAGGTATCAATTATATATCTTTTAAATAAATGAAAATATTGATATTTAGTGGACAATCTGGCCAATTACATTAACTTATTATGTCACGTGTTAGAATTAGCCAATTAGGATAATCGACTCGATTATAGTCGACTAAGTCGAATTTTGAATATCGGCTTAGTCAAGTCGATAAAAAATGATCGACTACAATCACTAACTGCAATTTTTATGATGCTCTAAAAATAGAATAATAACCAATCAGGAGATTGTCAATTCTAAGCATGTGACTTTGTTTGCATACGTAATACGTCGTACGTACTGTACCTAAAAATCTGGGTACAACCCAAGCTTTTTTTTTTTAAAGCTCAAACTATCCATTCCCCATAAATATTGGTGTCGCCCGCGGATTGTCTAGTTACCTGTTTTATTGAGTTCTGTAGTATATACTTATTATAAATTTAGATTATTTGGCCAAATATACTTTTCAATAAAATAAATTATTCTCATGTAGCGTATAATTTTTTGCGTCAAAAATGTCATACAAAAGAAATTAACTTATCATATGAAATCAGCAATTCTTTTAATCAACTGAAATTCATTGATTGCCAAAAATCAGCCGATATGAATGATCCAGATGGAATGTTTTGGCTCGGGTATTGTTACAAATATGGGATTGGAATTAAAAAGGATGAGAATAAGGCATTTATTCACTACCAAAAGTCTGCAGAGATGAATAATCCCAATGGAATGTATCAAGTTGGCTATTGTTATTATTTAGGAATTGGGGTTGAAACAGATAAGCATAAAGCATTTATACATTATTTAAGGTCAGCTGAAGCGGATAATTCTTTGGGAGTTTTTAAAACTACTATTTGTTACTATTACGGAATGGTGTGGAAATAAATAAAGATAAATATTATTATTGGATTGAAAGGTAAATGATTGTTAATTTATTAATAGATTTGAATTTTACATTTTGAAATCGGAATCGGAAATTCTTAAGTCTTTTAATTCTTTAGGGAGTAAGTATAATACTAAGTATTTTGTTTGCAATAATTCATGCTATTTAAATAATATATCAAAATCATCTTATACACATTAATTTAGTCCGTAAGTATAAAGAACATTTGGATATTTATTAATCTAAGTGTTTAAATAAGTTCACGAATATTTGTAATTTAATTTCATTTTACTCACGTTAATTTAGTTCGTGAGTATGAAGAATATCTATATTTAAAATACAGTATGCTATTCAAGTTCATGAGATTTACTATTTAATTTAATTTTAGCTCGTTAGTATAGAGAACATTTATTAAATTGTGTTTAAAATAAGCTATCCCAGTTCATGAATATTAATTTCATTTTATCTTTTATTAATTTAGTCCGCGAGTATAAAGAACATTTATTAACTTAAGTATTAAAATAATCCATTCAAGTTCATAAATATTTATTATTTAATTTCATTTAGATTGTGGGTATATTTTTTAATCTAAACATTTAAAAATAACTTATTCAAGTTCATGAATATTACTATTTAATTTCATTTTATTCTGTGTTAATTTAGCCTGTAAGTATAGAGAATTTTCATTAATCTAAGTATTTAAAATAAGTTACTGCACTCATAAATATTCACTATTTAATTTCATTTTGTTTATTTATTTGCGTTATTTTAAGTGAGTAAGTATAGAAATTTATTAATTAATACTGCATATAAATCGAGCTGCTATAAGCCGAAGAATACGGTCTAGAATTTATTCATTTCTTAACTGACTTGAATTTGACACATGACTTGTCAAGATGTTGATATTAGGGATCTGCAGATCGGGCTCATGCCTATGCCTAACAAAAAGCATAGGCAAGACACAGGCACAAAATCTTAGGCATGGGCATAGGTACGGACAAAAAAATTTGGCACGGGCATGGACACAGGCACAAAAGTTTGGCATTGGTTGGCACGAGCATAGGTATAGATACAAAAATGTGACCAAGAACTTTCATAAGTAAAGATATGAAGTGCCAGACATAAGTCGTCACTTAGTGCAACATTTGTGCCTGTGTCCTTACAGTGCCTGCCCGTACCCATAACGTAATGTGTCTGGCAATTTTGTGCCTAGGAACACAGGCACGGCTCAAGGTACTAGTGCCTGGCCTGATGCCTAATTTGCCTGGCATGGGCATTTGCAGATCCCTAGTTGATATGTATGGGCTGGCAAGATCAGATGTAATGTAAAAAAAAAATTAATTAGATGGCCTAACTAAAAATGTTGGTGAAATTTTACGAAGTTGTCCTAACATAATCTTAACTATAACAAACTATATACTGTATAAACAGTTTTATTAAGTTTAATTTTACGCCCAATTTTTTTGGCTTAGAAATCAGGTTTGCTTTGGCTACGACATTACACCTGAACTTGAATTTGACTGGTTAAAAATCACAATTTTTGTGAGTGCGCTGCCAAAATCTAACATCTCCTTTATTTGGCACCAGTGATTAGGCTCAAATGATTTTGTA